TATTTATTTATTTATTTATTTATTAAAAGTTATTATTGCAAATGTATTTGTAATCCAGTTAATTAGAATAATTGATAGAAAACCCGATTAGCCTGAATATTTACTTAATACGTCCTTTTTTTGGTAACAAAGCAGGACATCATGCACACAAAATAAATAATAATAATAATAAATTGAGTTTAATATGACAGCTGATTTGATTTAGATTTGAATCTGGTTTTGACCATCAGAGGAGAAGTTAAAAAGACAAAGCCACAGACTCTGAGTGAGATTTTCCAACTAAACCAGTGTGGTCTGAGAACAGAAAGAACTTTGTGAGCAAACCTCAGAGGATTTAAAATAATTGTTTAGGGAGGAAGCTGCTGGACAGGTTGGATGCTCACCACACCTTTGATTCTCAGCTTTAATTACCACCAAATGGGTTCCCATAATTGCTCAAAGGAATCCCCACCGTCCAGACTCTGTGCGCGCACACTATGAATACAGAATATTTCTAATTTATGAGGTAAGTGTGTGATCGAGAGCTGGAATTGCATTTGTGAATGACAGAGAGCGATTTATCTGAAAACAGGCTCAGTTTCATGATAATTTTCATGCTAATCTAGAGCCACGGGCCAGAATTAAGGGAACAAGACCGGTGATTGAAGGGTCCTCCCACCGTCAATGATGTCCTGTAGGGGGAAAATTCACCTGTAGTTATTGAATTTTAATTTTTTTCGAGGGTTTTAGATGGTGCGTGTAGAGAAATGCAGAATGGCTGTGAATGAGGGGAGTAATGAAAGAAGGAATCTGAGTTAAAAGGATGCAAATGGCCTCCAAAATGAAGAGATCTAAAAGAGGATTGTTATTTATTTTTGACTGGTTTAACAGAAAAAGAAGAATCTCCCTTCACATTAAATGTGTTTGCAGGTTTGATCAGAACAAATCTGATAGTTTGTCTCGTTTAGAACATGGAAATTATGCTGGATTTTTTTATTTTTGTGTCCTTCCAACCTAAACCAGACTTCTGATAAGAATAAAAATATATAAATTTGACTGGAATTGTAGCAAAAGAGCTTATCAGAGATTATCATTTTTGCCTAAATCGACTAAAATGTGTTTTCTGTACAAATAAAAATGTAATCAAGAAAAGCTTCAGGGCTCATTAATCTATCTGAAGTCCTCATAAAGCGGCTCTCAGTGAATGAATCAGAAATTGGACAGATTATAAGTAGGAAAAGATCGCAACATTAATTTATTCTCAGACTGTCGCTCTGCTCTAATAAAATCTTTATTTTATCACAAATTTCTTCTCTATCTTTATGATCCGGCTTCAAACGTTCCTTTTTGATAAAGCTGACAGTTAGAGATGGCTCAGGGACCCTGAAACATCCCATAGTTCTGTTGCCATGGTCCCAGTTTGTTCTCCCCACAGTCTCCAGGTGCATGCTCAGAAAAAGGTTTCCTTTTCTTTTGGGGAAACCTCGTTTAACTTGACTGATCATTTATCATTTCCAATTGAATCAAAACCAATTGAACTTCAATGAATATGGAGAAGAATCACATCGGGCCGTACCAACTACAATTACATCAAGGGGGGGGTCATCTGTTATCATACCTACTTATTTTTATTTTCTGTGCGTTGTTTTTCAGTTTCAATTCTAATTATTACATCTGATAATAATTCAGGTTAATCTGTAAACTAATGGCTAACTCAGTTTTCTTATTTGATTATTTTCTGATATTTAGATTCCCATTTTTGTGTCAGATTGGTCTGATCCCTTAGCTACAACTTCAGTTTTTTTCTGTCCAGCAGCCAGTTCGGAGTCTTTTAAACTTCCTGCTCTGACTTAAGGTTGATTTTGCTAATCTGGCCTGCGTCTGCTATAATGTTCAGCTCATTTTTTTGTTTAATTTGGTCTCTTTTGGTAAATAAAACCACTTTGCTGCAGCAGGAACCAGGTGGGTCCCTCACACTTTCTCTGACCTTCCTCAGGTTTCTGTCTTTTGAGCGATTTTAGTTAAAAACTCAGCTATCGAGGACATTTTCAGAATCAGAATCAGAAATACTTTAATAATCCCAGAGGGAAACAATTTTTATTACTAACTCCAGAAATAAAACAAGAGCATATACATATATACAAATACATATAGACATGTCTATACACACATACTGTATATATATATATATGCTGGTATTAATCACTAT